AAAACAGCCAACCAAGTCAAGGAATGCCACAGTAGGATTGCAAGTTGAGGTACACGAAGTGGGATCCCAGTCGGTCAGCTTTATTGGTTCAGGCCTTTTGATGATGATTCGTGATTAATGGTTTCTGGCTCTGATGATGTACGTCACATGACAGACGCAAGATCAGCACACAGTCATTGCGGTCGTAGGGCGGTGAGCCAACTTCCTCTTCGCACAATTCAACAGACAAAAGTCCGAAGCAACCCTTTTTCAGTATCTGGTGGGGCCAATTTATGAATCCATTCCGTCCGTCTTCTCAAACCAAACACAATGTTGTAATCGTTTGCTTTATGTGGACGCGACCGTCTTGTGTGCTTGTAGCAACCAGAACAGTCCGACGTGGCACAATAAAACAGGCCTGTTTTATTGGCACTGAAGATATCATCTGGACGAACTTAATGAAGGCAGTTTGACATTTTTATAGATTTACATACCGAAGCACATACAGCATCAAAACTATCCTTCTCGCCGTGTGTCCGCTTGACTTTAATGCAATGCTATGCTTACATTTCCACCGAGACGCCCAGCAGTCTCTTGCTTTAATAACATTGTGATCCAGTTTTTTAGCCGAACTCTATGAATTACTGTTCAGCATTGAAATACTGGCACACACACACACACACACGCACACACTTCGCCTAGTTACAATAAAGAGCCAGTGATTAAAGATCTCATCAATTTTGGGATCATAACTTTCACACTTTCGTATTTCACATGCTCTCTCTTCCCTTGTCTATTACTCTCGCAGCTCAACTTGTAACAAACTTGCGATTGCCAGTCGATTGTGGCTGGTGTTAGCCAGTTGGCTTTTTATTTAGTACCGTAAGGAAATTGTATCGAAAGTAATTAATTTTTCAATGGCCTCTTGAAGTAAGCAAGTTCTGCCAACGCCGCGGTTACCTGTTTTGTACCCGACCCGCTTAAACGGCCTGAAGCTCCAAATAAGGGAAGGAAATTGCCATTGTTTTCTCGATTCGATTTTGTTCTATAAGTTCTGTACCAACTAAATGGCTGTCCTCATTAAACAATGCCTCCCTTGACCAAAGTCCGCTGTACTTAGATTCCAGGCGACTGGGACGCAGGCGTCACGACAGCCTCATTCTTATTCATCGGGTATTTTTTCAGCATTTGAAACAGCCTTAACTACGAAGCACTAAAAGAGCCGGTTTCGGCAGAAAAATTGTGGAAAAATACGCGATCGCGACTCTTGAGCTTCATTCCGATGTCTGTCCGTATGACTGGATTCTCTTCTGTAACTTAATATTTGCTCTCTTTCATCTCTGCTCCAGCTTGGTCGGCAAGTTTTATGAAACAAAAGGTGCCGAACGGTGGCAACCTTGAGCTGACTCGAAGAAATTAACCTCCCAGAGCACAACCTGCAGAGCATTTCAGATGGTGAGTCCACCTTGGATGAGTGAAATTTGGATACTATAATTAATGCCTGAAGTAATTTCAGGAGGGATAAGGTAGTCGCTAAAATCACTTTTGTCCAAATGAATACAAATGATGATTAAGATGCAAAATATAGTGCGGCGAAGTGGGGAAAAGTTGTCACAAAACACACATGATGCAGGCTCGAACCCCGTTGTGGGTGATGATGTGGCGGTGAGACGAGGTTGAACCTGCAGTCCAGTCGAACCTGGAAGCAAAAAGCCTTCCGAAGACAGACCGGACGAACTGCAATGGCTTTGTGAGACTTAAAATATGAGAAAGATTGGACTGTCGGTGCTGAGATTGTCCGTCGGGGAAAAAGGTAAAAGGAGCCTTGCAAATGTGGAATGTCTCTAAAGGCAGAGGAGATATGTACTGCTAGTCAATTGCTGAGCTCACATGCTTCACTCTCTATATAAATAAATGTATGTATTTATGCATGTGTGTTTGCATGTATGTATGTATGTGTGTATGTTGTATATATATCGTTGTATGCAAGTTTCATGTTCATCCGTCTACATGTTCTGATGAAACGTGGACAGCTTGAGAATCATAAAGTGTGACTCTGGTAAAAAGACTCTTCATTCGAGTGTAAATGACTGAGAACCATGTAAGAGTCTTCGAAAGAGCATTTTAGCTGTTGAAAAAGTAGCATTTTGAAAGTCAATTTTCCGCTACTGCAAGTAGGCAGTAAAAGACGGATGGTCTGAAGAGGTGGAGAGACTTGTTGAGAATCGGGCTGGTGTTGATGAGGAGGGTTGGAAGTGATGGCAGTTTAGGGTTGAAGAAGCCCATTCTCCAGCGATGGATGCTCCAGTCGAGTAGATGCTTCGTGTACAATCCTCTTCACCATTTGTTCACTTACGCGTCGAATGGTAAGCTTGTTTTTCTGGTCAGCTCCAAAACCGCCAAGAAAACTGACCACATGAAACCACGTCTACAGCACGCCTGGCGACGGCCAGTCTGTACAAGACTTCGGCGGCTCGTCTTGTTGCTGTGTCCTCTTCAACCGGCCGTTTTTCTGCTTCCACCCATTTCCATTTCTGTATGAGGCTAGACAAGAGTAATCAAGTAACAAAGTGGCAAACGTTTCATTGTATAAAGCGGGTGATTATGGAATTTCCGCTTCGGCAAAATTACTGTCCAGTGTCGACTTGGTAACTGACTTTAAATCGAATTATTTTGCCAAACTTACCAAAACACAATCCTTCGCAACTTGGCCTCAAAATGAGCTTCAGTCAGTAGGGCCTGACCCGTCGAACTTTCGAGATGACACTTGTAGACTTGGAGCTAGTCCTCCTGAAGTGGTCCGAGTCGTCCGACTTGCAGTGACGGTATTTTGAAGAATAGTATATTCCCTAACTTGGATCATTTAATAGAAATGGGTTGACCTCGTTGTCGCAACTTGGTCTTGTCGTCAGGGTGACTATGTAGAACACACCTAGTCCAAAGTCGTCTGTCATAGTAGTTGTCATGATTCCCAGCATCAGACAGTAGACTTGGTACATTCGCAGACGTTTCGCCGGCATCGTAGTCGGCATCATCAGCGAGTTTTGCCATTCGCCGCACCAACTTACGAACTCGTCATAGAGACAAGTCAAGTCAATCCCTCGACAAATTGTCCTCTTTTCTTCGTCCACTGATAGACGTTGGGAGTCATGACAACTACTTTGGCAGACGACTTCGGACTAGGTACGTTCTACAT